TTAAATATAACATTAAATACCTGAATTTCAAGAGGTTGAATTATTTTTTCTAAGTCATTTATTTTATTTTTCTCATCTTCATTGCAATATTGTAATAAAAATTTATGTTGCTCCTCCGGTAGGAAAGACATGTCTATTTCATCAGGTAACATAGAAATTTTGCCTTCATCCGAAGGAATAGATGATGCAACATTTACAACTGATGCATGAAAAGAATTGATTTCAGAAATCAAATTTGTCCATTCTTCACATTCTGCTTTCAGCCTGAAAAAAATTAGATGATATTTTGTTTACAAATATAAATACAACAATGATACAAGATCTAGCCTTCTCACCTTCGTAAAGTTGCTTCATGTTCTTCTAATTTCCTCTGATTTACGATATTTTGTGGGTGTGGTTTTTTCGGAAGAGTTTTCTCTAAAGGTTCATGTCCATTCTACATATTTTTATGTGCAGCCCAATTTATTATCGGATAACAAATGTAAATATGCACAAAGGCAGTTATTAAAAAAATGCATTCAAAAAAAACATATCATATATCGATACCTGTCGATAATACCATGACGTACTAATTTTGCCATCGGTTAAATCGTTCAATACTTCCTGCTCTATGATCTTTGCTATTTAAAAGTTTAAATAAATACCGAATAAGATAACTAGTTCAAAAACAGAAAGAAATGTTATATCGTTCTTACCAATTTTCAGTGCATTTTCATCGGCTGAAGTCTGCTTATCTAGAGCCCTTTGTCCACACCATACCAAAAGTTGTCTGAGTTTTATCGGTTCCGGCATTTCTGCCTGAATATGACGAAAAAATTCATTTGAATTCACATCCGGATGTGGTCTGGCTGGATATATTACATTTTGATTCATTTGTATGTTCAACTATTATCCAATTCAAATGCAATTGAGAGAATATACCAGTATCTACAAACCTACAAATCCGTTACCAATTGAAGACGCTCTTTTGCCTCTTTTTTCTATACTCGAACGCCGCTTACTTTGTCTAATTACTTGATTTTTCTTTATAATTGGCGTTTCTGTGAGCGGAATAGGAATAATAGATTCCTGTAGTGGGGCATTCCTTCTTCGAACAAAGACAAAGCCTTGATCTTCTTCTTCATGAGGTGCAAGGCCTACCATTTTCAGAAAAACATTCATTAAATTATGTGTTTGATGGACCAAGAGTTATATAAACGCGTCCATGATAACTAACTTTTTTTTTTTTTTTTTTCTAATAACATGAGCTAAGTGCTGGGAAAAGGGACGTAATTTGAAAAAAATATTTACAAAAAAATTAATTTTCTCAATGATTATCTAAAATTTAATTAAATAATTGTTGAGAAAATTAATTTTTTTGTAAATATTTTTTGTTTGTCAAATTCGTCCCTTTTCCCAGCACCTAGTCCACAAATAGTTATTATATGGGAAAAGCACGTCGACATTAGAGTTGTTTTTTTTTTTAGTGAAAAACGCGTACAAATCAATTAACTGACTATCCTCCCGTCTGTCATTTGAGTACCATGCATTTTTCAAATTTAGCATTTGGCGTTAGATAACTTAATAAACATCTAAAACAGCTAACATACCTAAATACGTATCTTTTTTACCTAAAATTTTGCAAGTTTACTTATACAGTACGTATATGTACGTATTTTATTTAAATTTAATAAAAAAAACTATTTGCTACGTAACTTTGTTACTAATTGAGCTG